GCTTTGAGTGTCTTTGGGTGACATTGGGTGATTTTGGGTGTCTTTGGGTGACATTGGGTGACTTTGGGTGACATTGGGTGGCTTTGAGTGTCTTTGAGTGTCTTTGGGTGTCCTTCAGTGACATTGGGTGTCTTTGAGTGGCCTTGGGTGACATTGGGTGTCTTTGAGTGTCTGGGTGTCTTTGGGTGTCCTTCAGTGACATTGGGTGGCTTTGGGTGAAATTGGGTGACATTGGGTGGCTTTGGGTGTCTTTGGGTGTCTTTGGGTGACATTGGGTGACATTGGGTGACATTGGGTGACATTGGGTGTCTTTGGGTGACATTGGGTGACTTTGGGTGGCTCTGGACACCAGGAAAGAAAATGGAGGGGCTCAGATCTTGAGGGTGCATGCAGGAGCAGGCGGAGGGGAAGGGAAGAAGCTCCTCCTGCCCAAGGTCACCTCCAGAGCAAGGTCCCACCCTGCTGCTCCCTCCTGCAGGTCCCCCCCGCCACCTCTGCGACTCAGATCCTTGGGGAGAAATGCAGCTCACGGTGGAGTAACCCCCAAATTTTCCAGCCCATGAGAGACCCGGTGGTTGTGACAGCACAGAGTCTCTGCTGTGACAGCGCCATCCATCACCGGGCGGGCGTCTGGGCACTGCCAGGAGAAAGACAAACAGCATCTGCCCGAGCTCATGGGGACACGCCGCAGTCCCCCAGCCTGTCCCTGTGTCTGGGAGCCCAGGACAAACCAGGACTCAAGGAGAACCTTTCATCCCTTCATCCCCCTGGACGGGAGGGGCTGTGGGCAGAAGGCCCCAGCACGATGACAAGGGACAGGTTTAGTGACAGCCCCTCGGCACAGCCCCTCTGTGCCACCCCAGGGGCCTTTATGACATCTCAAAGTGGCCAAAGGCCCTTGGAGAGGGTCCCAGTCCTCAGTGAGATTCCCAGCAGCAATGCCAGAGGGCGGGGAGGCCGTCAGAGGGCTCAGAGGGTTTTCTGGGGCTCCAGCAGGCTGCAGGCTCTGCTCCATCCGGCTCCCAGGGAATGGGCACGGCCCCGAGGCTGCCAGAGCTCCTGGAGCCTTTGGCACTGCTCCAGGGATGCCCAGGCTGGGGTTGTTGGGGTGTCTGGGCAGGGACGGGAACTGGGATTCATTGTGCATTTCCAGCTCAGGATATTCTGTTATCCACAATCCTGGGATTTGAGATGTTCTGGGCTGGGGAGACAGGAGGGTCCTGGTGGATGAAATGACAACAAAGGAGCTCAGGCACAGAAGGTTCTGCAGATTCCCGCAGTGTTTCTCCTGGAAGTCATCCCCCTCACTGCCCTGCTCTGCACGCCGGCTCCTGTGCCCTGAGCGCCCTGGCTGGCCGGAATTAAAGGCTGAGCAGGTGCCCGTTGCTCCTGTGTCTCTGGTTATTACAGAGCAGCTCAGTGAAAACCAATTCCCCGCCTGCCTCAGAGGCGTCCTCGGACCAGGGGAAGGGGGTGCTGCCACCTCAGCCCTTCTGCACTCACCCTTCCCATCCCAGCCTGGCTTTGTGCCTGCCCCACTCTCACCTGGGGCTTCAGACCCCGAGGGAGGCAGCAGAGCTGAGCAAAGGCACTTGGGGGGCTCCATTCCTGCCCCTCCTTGCAGCACAGGGTGGGTAGGGGGGCCCCCAGTCCCCAAGGCTGGGATTGCATCTGGGGGCAGAGGGGAAGGGTCCTGTGGGCCCTAAATCCCACCCTGGAGCTCCCAGGATGCCAAAGGCAGGGCAGCCCCACAGACCAGGGGTTTGTCAACCCCAAACCCATCACCCCAAAATTGTACCATGTGCCACGGCTGCATTTCCCTGTCTAGACAATGCTTTGGAGAGCATTGCTGGCTTTAGCTGCTTTTCCAAATGCAGACCCAATTATTAATTATTATTAATTGCTCTAATGTAGGTTTATCCATGACTAGCAGGGCTCGGAGCAGCAGGATTCCTGCTGGCTGCACCCACAGCTAAGCTGGTATTGTCCCAGATACAGTCACATGAGAGCATTTGTTTTCCCAGGCAGCCCTGGCAGGCTGCTCCTCTCCTGCTCCCCCGGCCCTACAATCCCCCCACGGGGGCAGAAATGGGGCCCTGAGCCCTAATGAACCTAATGAGCTTTTGGGTACCCTAATGAAAGATGCCTGGGGGATGCTGAGGGATGCAGGAGAAGAAGCAGAGGGGGAAGAAAAGGGGTTTTCTTGGCATGCAGGGATGCTCCGAGCAGCGGGACACGGGCAGCCCCATGTCCCTGAGCTCTGGTGTCATCCCACATTTCTCTGGGCGCGGGGCGAGGTGAAGCTGCTCTGTGCGGGGCCCGTGTCGTTTGTGACACTGCTGTCACACGGCTGTCACCGCGCTGGTCCCGCCCGGCCCGGGAAGGGGACATGCATACTGGGGGTGCTGGCAGGAGGGTGGCCTCTGGTGGGGGACACCGCTGCCAGGCGGGTGGGGACCCTCTCCGTGCTGGCGGCCGCAGGGACGGAGCCCGGTGACCGTCCCCGGGGTCCGGCGGGGCCTCACTCCGGCACTGCCATCTGGTGGCATCGCCAAAGGGACCGGGGACGGTGACGGGGCTGGGACCGGTCTCTCCGAGCTGCAGGGAAGGATTCCTGCTCCTGGCGTGCCAGGCAGCTCATGTGCCTGCAAGGAGAGCGGGGCCGAGGGGACAAACGCCTGCCCGGCCGGTTTGTCCTTCCCGAGGGGACAGGGACAGAAGGACATTCCCGCTGTGGGTGTCCGGGGCTCCGACAGCCGGCCGGGAGGACACGGGAGCTGCCGGACACCCCGAGCCGTGCCGGGGCTGTGCCAGAGCCAGCCCGCGGTGTCCCGGGCCAGGGGCGCTGCCAGACCCGTGCCCGGGGCAGGATGTGCCCGCACAGGCTCAGCCCTCCCGAAAGGGGAAACCGGAGAGCAGCTGAGATCCGAGCGCCCTTCTCAGGCTGACCTCTCCTGTTGCAGGGCTGTGCCTGCCAGCAGATTTTGGGAGCCCACCGAGACTCAGATAATCCTTTGTTGATTTGTGCCAGTGCTGAGCAATGGCCAAATCCCAGAGTTTGACCTCTGGAGCAAGAAGTGTGCCACCCTCCTCTTCCTCAAGGACACAGGGGTCAAGTGTCCCCAGCCCTGTGCCCCCAAGCCTGTTGCTGTCACATACTCAGGGACTTTCTCCTCTGTCTAAATTTAGGCTCTGGAAGTGGGCTGGCACCTCCCGGTTTATCCCAGCCCCTGGATTATGCATGGCAGAGCACTCACTGCCCTGGGAGGTCATGCCAGCCTCTGGCTGGGCACGAAGAGCAGAAAAAACCTGCTGTGTGCCACCCTCAGCCCCCTGAGCCGGGTCTGGCCCTGCAGGGCAGTGGGCTCACGCTGCTGGCTCTGCTGGGAGTGGTGGGAATGCTGGAGCTGGAAGGTGTGGAGTCAAGTCCAGCAAAAGGGCTCCTGCAGGAGAAAAAAACAAGATTAGGTAAAACACGGCTCCATTGTTGCACGAGGTGGGGAATGGCTGAGGCAGAGAAAAGGAATTCTGCCTTCACCTCCTGCCAGCCTGGCTGCAGAGAATGCAGAGATCCCGCGGGGAAAGGCTGCACCGAGGGAGGCAGATCCTCGATGGGACAGGACCCAGACCAGGACATGCTTCAGCCAACTGAAAACCATTTCAGTCCTGCTGGGTGAGGGAGGGCTGGTGGCACTGTGAGGCCGCTCCCAACAACCTTTCACTGATCCTGCGGATAGAGAGAAGAGTCTGGAAGGCTGGAGGGAACCAAATGTCACTTCAACCCTCCAGAAGGGCAGGGAAGTGCATCAGCCTCACCCCAGTCCCTAGGAAGGGGATGGAGCTAATCCTGGGAAGCATTTCCAGGCACATTTAGGATGAAGATCAGAGAAAGCTGAGCTCAGCCAACCTGACAAACTCCTCCAGTGGCTTGGTAGAGCAGTGGGTGTTTCCATGTGTCAGTGAGGCCCCCCAAACCCCTCTCCAGGCCGACCAGCCCCAGCCTCCCAGCCTTTCCTCACACATGGGGTACTCCAGACCTTTAATTACCCTTGTGGCCCTTTGCTGGGGTCTCTCCAGCTCGCCCACGTCTCTCCTGTTCTGCAGAGCCCAGACCCAGCAGCACCTCCAGGGCCTTTCCCAGAGCTCTTTTCCAGCTGAGTGCCCTCCACCACATATTGGAGTCTGGGATTGTTCTCCACAGGGCCAAAACTTTGCCCTTTCACCTTATTGAACTTCCTAAGGCTCCAGTTGGCCTCCCAGGGTCTGAAGGAGCTCCAGGAGAGCTGGAGAGGGACTGGGGACAAGGATGGAGGGACAGGACACAGGGAATGGCTCCCAGTGCCAGAGGGCAGGGCTGGATGGGAGATTGGGAACTGGGAATTGTTCCCTGGCAGGGTGGGGAGGGGCTGGGCTGCCCCTGGATCCCTGGCAGTGCCCAAGGCCAGGCTGGGCACTGGGGCTGGAGCACCTGGGACAGGGGGAGGGGTCCCTGCCATGGCAGGGGTGGCACTGGATGTGCTTTCAGCTCCCTTCCAACCCAAACCCTTCTGGAATTCCATGACCCCTTCCCGCGGGCTGCTTCCAGCCCAGACAGGGCTCCTGGCCGTCCCCCCCAGTCCCGGCGATGTCCCCAGGTGCGGGTGGGGTCCCCTCGGCGGTAACCGGGGACGAAGGGGAGACGGAGGAGGATGAAAGGAAGAGGGAGGGGTATGGAGAGGGGGCTCAAGTGAGGATGGAGGAGCCACGGAGCGGCTCCCCCGCGGTCGGGAGGGGGCCCGGACCCCCCTTTGCTCTCTCTCCGCCGCCGTAGGGGCCGCCCCGGGGGAGGCGCGGCGGGCGCGGCCGCCCCGAGCTGCCCGGTGCGGGCGGAGCCAGGCGGGGACCGGGAGCGGAGCGGGAGCGGAGCGGGAGCGGCGGCAGCACCATGGGGGCCTGTCTCGGGGTCTGCTCCCTGCTCAGCTGCGTGAGTGCCCGCCCGGAGCGGGGGGAGCGCGGGGCGCTGTCGCGGTGTCGCACCGGCGCTGTCGCGGTGCCGCACCGGCGCTGTCGCGGTGTCGCAGCGGCGGGCGCGGCCCAAGGCGGGCGAGTCGCGGCCGCTGCGGGTCCGGAGGAGGGTCCAGGGAGAGCCGGGGAGGGCTGAGGGACACCCCCGGGATGTGCCCCGCTGGGCCCGGACGCGGAGGGGTCCAAGGGATGGCGGGAGGGAGATGCAGGGTTCCCCTGGGGGATGCACCCCTGTGTACTCGCGGATACGGGGGACCCCCGGCAGGACTCACCCTGGATGTGGGGGGATGCAGGAGACCCCCGGAGGATGTTCCCTGTGTACCGGTGGGATGTGGGGCACACCCAGTGGTTACACCCCTGTATATGAAGGGATTTGGGGGTGCAGCCCTCGGTGGCTGGAGAGATGTGGGGGATTCTCAGAGCAGGGGATCCCACTGCAGCAGGGTATCCGTGGGAGAGCTCACTCCAGAGAACTCTGGGGCCCATGGTGGAGGGGAATGGGATGGGAATGGGGTGGGTGGTGCACCCCAGGGCACCTGGGGGAGGTGGGAGGCCAGAGCAGCGATGTCCTGCTGGTCCTGGAAGGGTGGGGGGTCCTGGCCCCACCACACAATGAGAGGCTGGGGGTCCTGCCTGGTTCTTTCTGCTGAGCCCCAAAGTGGGGATGGAGAAAGAGGAGCTGGGATGGGGGTGCGGGGGGCCGTGTGTGGGGTGCCATGGCCCAGGGTACCTACAGGGTGTGTGATTTGGGGTGCCATGGCCCAGGGTACCTACAGGGTGTGTGATTTGGGGTGCCATGGCCCAGGGTACCTACAGGGTGTGTGATTTGGGGTGCCATGGCCCAGGGCAGGCCCAGGCTGAGCATTCAGGGTGCTGTGCCCTGCGACGTGGAGTGTGTGGTTCGGGTGACGCAGGCACCTGCCCACACCAGCACTTCCTGCCCTGGCGCTGCCTCACCTGTGGGCACAGGGCCAGGGCAGGGCTGTGGAACCAGCCTGGGAGCTGCTGGCCTGGAAACCTGGGAATGGGACCTGTTTTGCTACTTGACCTGTGAGTGCTGGAGGTTTAAAGAACAGGATGTTTGGAAATGAGGGATGGGAGGCAGGGTTGTCTGCAAGGCCCCCCTCTGTAACACGTTCCTGTGCTTTTCCTTATGGACAGGTGTTGGGAAAGCAGGGAGTTGCTCCAGAGCAGACCTGTGGAGTTTTCTGTATGAATTCTGGATTTTTTCCCCTCCAAAAGCTGTTGTGGCTCAGACTGTGGTAACAGTAGAGTCACTGTATAGGTTTAATTTTCCTGTTCCTTCCTGTGGAAGTAGTTCCTGAAGGGGCTGGTTTTGTGCAGGTCTGAGCTGAAGAACAACACTGAAAAAAACCCAAACTGAATGAAACATCCCCCCTAGTCTGTGTAATTATTAAAAAGAATTACTTTTAACAAGCTTTTGTTTAATTTTGTTGTCCCTTCCAGTGGACCTGGTTGATGAAGGGGCTGTTCTAGCATCTGTCTGAGCTGAAGAACCACAACACTGAAAAAAACCCAAACCAAACTGAACAAACCCCCCTAGTCCTTTTTTTTTTTAATTGTTATTTTTAACAAGAACATCCTGACTAACTCCTTCTGCTCTGCCTGCATCCCTTGAGTCACAGCACCACGAGATTGCCAAGCCCTTCCTTCAGTGCTTTTCCATTAAACCCTACAAGCTGCTCCTGAGTGAAACCTTGAATCACAAAAGGAGAAACCTTGAATCACAAAAGGAGAAACCTTGAATCACAAAAGGAGAAACCTTGAATCACAAAAGGAGAATTTCTCTGTCCCTGCCTCCCGTGGGTCTCCAGGCTTTGCCCACGGCTGCCATGAGCAGTGTGGTCATTCTGAGCTGCCCTCCTGGGTGACAGGCTTGGGGTGACCAGCAGAAGGCTGCCCCAGCCAAAGAAAGCCCTGGAGCCTTGGACAGTCCTTAGACACCCCCTGGGGACACCCAACGTCTGGTACCAATCCAAAGCCACCCGCCAGGCAGGAAGGCCACCAGCTCCCCAGGTTGTGGGGATGTGCTGGATCCGTGCTGATTAACCTGCCTGCTCGTTAATTTGGCAGCAGAGAAACAGCGACTGCTCGGCATCGCTTTGGGCTGACTCACTCTTGGCGTACCTGGGACTGCCGGGGTGAAGGCGGCTGGCAGGTGTGGTGGTGGGGTGGTGTAGTTGTGTTGTTGTTGTTGGGGTGGTGTAACTGGGGTGGTGTAGTTGGGTCATTGTTGTTGGGGTGATATAGTTGGGGTGATGTAATTGAGCTGATGTTTGGTTTTGAAAGCAAAACCAGTGAGAGACTCCAAGTCAGAAATACAGTTTATTAGGCAAAGGGAAAAGAAACAAAATCCATGCAAAAACGCAAAAGGAAAACCACAGACAGAGTCAGAACACAATCTGACACCCCTTTGGCCAGTGTGTTGGTGGCAGTCCAAATCGGAGTGGCTGCAGTCCCTGGAGTGGCAGGTGTGGTTCTGTTGGAGCAGTGATCCTGTAGAAGGGTGGAGTCTTCCTCTGAGGGTCCAGGGAAAACCCCAGCTGTTCCTCTTGGGAACCAGTGGAGAGGCTGAGTCTGGTGTCCCAAAAACCCAGATTATATCCAGGTAGGAATGCTTGGCTCCTCCCTCTGGGCGGAGCATCCCACAATGGATGCAGTTCTTATCAGTCACCAGTGACATTCAATAGCTGTTATCAACAGATGTCTCCCCTGAGGGAGGATTGGTTGTGGAAGAGATAAGGAAAATTGTCCAATCAACTGAAGATAACTGCTACACACATGGGAAATTGATACATCTTGCCTTTCAATCTGGGACATGCTGGTGTAGTGGGTTGGTGGTGTTGGGTTGGTGTTGTCGGGTTGCTGTTATGGGCGTGGTGCTGTGTGCCAAGTTGTTAGGGTGATGCTGGGTGGGTGTTTTTGGGTTGGAGTTGTGGTGATGTAATTGGGCTGTTGTTGTTGGGGTGGTGTAGTTGGGATGATGTAATTGGGGAGGTGTGGTGGGGTTGGTGTTGGGTTGGTGTTGTTGAGATGATGTTGAGCTGATGTAGTTGGGCTGTTGTTGGGGTGGTGTGGGTCAGAGTTGTTGGGGTGATGTTGGGTGGCTGGTTTTGGGTCGGTGTTATTGTTGGTTGTAGTTTGATCAGTCGTGTTGGGCTGGCGTTGGTGTAGTTGGGTTGTTGGAGTGGTAGAGTTGGGATGATGTAATTGGGCTGCTGTAGTGGGGCTGGTGGGGTGGGTTGGTGTTGTTGGGGTGATATTGGGATGATCTTGTGATGGTAGAGTTGGGATGATGTAATTGTGGTGGTGTAGTTGGGTCGGTGGTTTGGCTTGGTGTTGTTGGGGTGGAGTTTTTGGGCTGGCGTTGGACTGGTGTTGTTCGGTCAGTCATGTTGGTCTGGTGTTGTTGGGCTGTGGTTGGGGTGGTGTTGGGCAGCTGTAGTTGGGTTGGTGTAGTGAGGCTGGTGTAGTGGGGTTGGTGGTGTTTGTGTTGGTGTAGCTGGGTTGGTGTAGTTGTGTTGGTGTAGCTAGGTTGGTGTAGCTGGATTGGTGTAGTTGGGTTGCTGTAGCTGGGTTGGTGTTGTTGATCTGGTGTAGTTGGGCTGTTGTGGTGGGGGAGTTGGGATGATGTAACTGCTCTGGTGGTGTAGGTTGGTGTTAGTAGTGTGGTGCTAGGCGGGTGGGTTGGTGTTGGGGTGTTGTTGGGTTGGTGGGTTTGGGTTTGGGGTGATGTTGCTGGATGATATTTTTGGGATGGTGCGGCTGGACTGGTGTAGTTTGATCAGTTGTGTTGGGCTGTGTTGGTGTCGTTGGGCTGATAAAGTATGGGTGCTGTTGTTGGGGTGAAATTGTTGGGGTGCTGTTTTTGGGGTGATGTTGCTGGGTGTTGTTATTTTGGTTCTGTTTTTGAGGTGCTGTCTCGGTGCATTTGGGGCTCTTTTTGTGGTGCTGCTGCTGTCTCAGAGTATTTGGAGTGCTCTTTTTGGGGTGCTGTTGCTGTATGGGTGTAGCTGGGGTGCTGTTTTGGGGTGCTGTTGCTGTATGGGTGTATTTGGGGTGCTGTTTTGGGGTGCTGTTACTGTCTCAGTGTATTTGGGGTGCTGTTTTTGGGGTGCTGTTGCTGTATGGGTGTATTTGGGGTGCTGTTTTCGGGTACTGTTACTGTCTCAGTGTATTTGGGGTGCTGTTTTGGGGTGCTGTTGGTATATGGATGTATTTGGGGTGCTGGTTTGGGGTGTGTTGCTGTAGGGGTGTATTTGGGGTGCTGTTGCTGTATGGGTGTATTTGGGGTGCTGTTTTGGGGTGCTGTTGCCGTATGGGTGTATTTGGGGTGTTGTTTTGGGGTGCTGTTGCTGTAGGGGTGTATTTGGGGTGCTGTTACTGTCTCAGTGTATTTGGGGTGCTGGTTTGGGGTGCTGTTGCTGTAGGGGTGTATTTGGGGTGCTGTTGCTGTATGGGTGTATTTGGGGTGCTGGTTTTGGGTGCTGTAGCTGTAGGGGTGTATTTGGGGCCCATGGGGTGTTTCCCCGGTCCTGCTCCGGCCACGCTCTCCCGGTCTCCGGCAGGGAGGGATGGGAGCAGCTCTGAGTTCGAGTCCCACCGAGGTGAGCTGGACTCAAGGGGAAAGTCGATAGTGAAACCGGAGAGTTTAATCATCCACCAGAGCTGAAAACCGACACTTCCTCATTAACCCCCGGCTCTCCTGCTGCTGCAGCCACTTCCCTCGCTGGCTTTTTCCATCCTGCTCTTTGTCCCTTCACCGTGTTCACATTTTGGGGCAACTTAAAAAATCTTTGGAAGGAGAATCAGAGTGCCCAGCACTGCTGGGAGTGTCTTCCTTGCTGTTAACCACTGTGTTTTAAAGAAAAAGGCTGAGATCAGGAGTGCCAGGCAGCTGGAGGGGTCAGTGTGTGGCACAAAGGGTTCCTTGGCTTCACTGCAAAGGGGCAATCAGGGAGTGATCCTAAAAGGATATCCTAAAAGGAATCCACAGGATTCCCGTGTTGCGGGGCAGAGCAGTGGGATGGGGATATCCCATTACCTCAGAGCCTGTGAAACCTGAAATACAACCAGGGAGTTCGGCTGTGTAAGAGTCATCCTGCAAAACAAACCTCCAGGGATGCTGCTCCCAAAAACCTTGTGCCTGCTGGAGAGAGCCCAGAGGGATCCACGGAGCTGCTGCAGGGCTGGAGCCCCTCTGGAGCCAGGCTGGAGAGCTGGGGGTGCTCCCCTGGAGAGGAGAAGCTCCAGGGAGAGCTCAGAGCCCCTGCAGGGCCTGAAGGGGCTCCAGGAGAGCTGCAGAGGGACTGGGGACAAGGATGGAGGGACAGGACACAGGGAATGGCTCCCAGTGCCAGAGGGCAGGGCTGGATGGGAGATTGGGAATTGGGAATTGTTCCCTGGCAGGGTGGGCAGGGGCTGGGCTGGAATTGCCAGAGCAGCTGTGGCTGCCCCTGGATCCCTGGCAGTGCCCAAGGCCAGGCTGGACACTGGGGCTGGAGCACCTGGGACAGTGGGAGGGGTCCCTGGGGTGGGATGAGCTGGGATTGAAGATCCCCTCCCACCCAAACCACTCTGGCATTCAGATTCCTGAATCAAGGATGAGAACCAGGACCAAAAACCATTGCACCAAAGGGATAAAGGAAAGGAAATAATGATTTCCTGGATGGTTCCAGGCCCCCCCAGTGCTGTTCCCCACTGGAAAATGCAGGGGGGTTTGTACCTGGCGGGGCCTTGTGGAGAGGTTTGGGCTCTCCCAGGTGCCCAGAGCAGCTGTGGCTGCCCCTGGATCCCTGGCAGTGCCCAAGGCCAGGCTGGGCACTGGGGCTGGAGCAGCTCGGACAGTGGGAGGGGTCCCTGCCATGGGTGGGGATGGAATGGGGTGGTCTGAACCCCAAATCCACACCTTCCTAAACAGCACCAAACCTCATGGTTTTCCTGTCCAGATCTGCTGATTTTGGGACTGGTGCTTTTTGTTTCAGTTGGCACCGAAGAAGGAGGAGCTGGAGGTGTGGATGGAGCACCGAGGGGCTTTGCTGCATCAGATGATGCAGTAATTCTGCATTTAAAGGGATTTTTGTTGTTCTGTATTTTTTTTTTAATTTGAAGGGAAATACAGTCACGCTGGTGCATTTTAATGCACTCTGATGCACGTGGCGCATTTAATGAGGCTGAAATGAAGCAGTCTTTAATTGAAAGCCATTTTCCCATGCTTCCAACTTGAAAACACGATGTGATGCCTCTGAGCAGCTCCTGGAGGGGCAGGATGAGAGTTCCCATGGGATCCCTTGGGTCTCTCACCCACCCAAGCTCCTGTGGGTGCCATCAGCTCAACACAGCTGTTCATGGGGCAGGGATGTGGGGCTGGCATGAGATAAGAGGAATAAGTCAGGAAGGAGGGGATTGTTCTCAAATAATGGTGTGCTTATGCTAAAAAAATACTCAAAGCCACCTCTGGTGATTGTCCTAGTTTAGGGCAAATTTGGGAGGAAAACCTGTGGAAGGAGCCCCCAGAAAACAAACCCCCACGGCCCCTCCCCACCCACCTGGTTCGGGAAAAATTTTCTTGGAGAGAAGTGGAAAAAAAAATGTTTATTTAACAAACAAAGCACTCCCCAGCACCAAAAAAAAAAACAACCAAAACAAAAAAAAAAAAACCCAAAAAACCAAAAAACAAAACAAAAAACCCCAAACAACACCAGATGACAAAAATCCCTTTCACCGCTCTGAAGAGATGAACAAATCCAGAAAGTCTCTCCTGGGAGTGATTGCCCGGGTCCGGGTGCTGGGGATTGCTCTGGGCACTGGGGATGGCTGCTGCAGATCACAGAGCGCAGCTCTCGGTGCTCCTCGGTGTTTCCCTGGTCCCGTCTGGAGCAGGATGGATGGTATTCAGGAAAGGGAAAGGAAAAAAAACAGTCCAGGGAAAGAACTGGACTGCTTAGCTAAACTAACTAACAAGCAAAGGCAAAAGCAGGAGCAAGCAAGCAAAGCAAAAGCCAGCCAGCACCAGCCTCTTCTAGAGAACAGACCATGGGGGAGGTGAACCGGCTGATAACAACACAAAACAAACCTTCACTTTCAGAGTCAGTTCTGAAAGCACAGAACAGACTATCAAACATAAACAGAACACACGATTTGGGATACAAACACCATAATGTCACCCCATGACAGTGATTTGGGGCGTCAAAGTGGTTGCTCGTGCTGAGGGAGCCGCACACAGCAGCTCCACGTCTGGCTTTGTTTTCTGCCATGTCCAGTTTTTACGCTGATTCCAACAATGAGAAATGTATTTTTGAGTCAATGCCGAGCCATCTTTAATTAGCACC